CTCTTTCTCCTCTCCCTCTTTCGAGCCAATTCGAGCCCTTGGTGTCGAGCTACGGCTCATTTCCGATTTTTGTATCCTTAAAAGGTTTTTGGGTACTTAGGGTTTGTTTGTGATGTTCTAAAAAAGTACATTTTTTGACTTATTGGCTTATATGGGTTGGGGTTGGGTTGGGTTTGATGTGATGTGTTAGAGAGGTGATGTGATTTAAATAAGATGATGTGACTTAAATAGGATAGTGACTTTTTGACTTTTTGTATTATTTAATTTATGCCAAACCAACCCTTAATTACCAAACATTAATATGTGACAAGTGCTTTCACGTCTCTCACAATCTAAAGTGGGCTTCTACCTAATAAATCAACAAATAGACATATTATGTTAACTCTCAGCAAACAATGACTCATTTGATTTCCCATGGGCAAATATGTTTGGTTTGTTTGATATTCAAATTAAAAAAATAAAATAAATGTGAAACCCACTTGATAAAAAAATATTAGGCCTCATTTGGAAACATATTTTTTTTAGTAATTTTTTGATTTTTTAACTAAAATATGATGTAAATAAAATTGTATATTTTGGATGAATTTTTAATTTTTTACGAAAAAATATTTAAAAAAATAGAGAGAAAATATAATATTTGACTTTTTAATATAGATTATTGATTTTTTAATATTTTTAAAAATTTTAAATTAAAAATAATGTTATCAAATGAGGTCTAAATTAGTAAAAGAGTTATGCTAGGGACCCCAAACAAATAGGGACCACAAACAAATTACTAAATTTTCTACCAAATCTCTCACATGGGGTATGAGACACACACATATTTGATTTGTATAGATCCCACACCCATATAAGTTGTCTGATAGAAAATTTAATAATTTATTTGGGATCCATAGCATTGTACTCCGTGAAAAGTGGCATCAAATTGGGATTTGATTTGGTGGATTAGTTTAACAGTAGATTGGTTGGGTGGATAGTGGTTTTAGTTGGACAACTATTCAACACTCTCTCTCTCCACCCCTTCACACACATATACTTTGCATGAAAATTAATTCTCTGACTACAGGCTACCAACAAGTGGTTGAGACGAGAGCCAGAGGCACATGACATGAGTCAAATTTTCTTTCTCCATTCAATATAATAATATTATATTTTTATCAAATATACTGGTTGAAGATTCAGCTCAGCAGTGCCAAGGGTGGTGGTTTTTTTATTTTTTTTTTCCTTCGGTTTCCTCCGGTCGTAGATCAAATTAGAGTGTACTGTTAAACTCGTGGATACTTAATATCTTATTTTAATAATTTAAATTATTTAATATGTAAAATTTATCAAATATTATATATTTTTAAAAAATTACATTGATTAGATATCAATAGCTATCTCATTAAATTAGTTTTCTCTCAACTATTTATTTTCTTACTGTTCATTTTTTAAATACAAAATTAATTTGATCACGTAATTGTCGATATCTGATCAACGTGATGTTAATAAACATATTGCACTCGAGGAGTTTTACACATTAAACAGTTTAAATTATCGAAACGGGACCTGTGAATCTGTGATAGATCCTTATAGGTCTAATAACACCCTCTAGCTTAATCTGAGACGGAAGAGCAGTGAGTGCTTTTTTTTTTTTTTTTTTTTTTTGTGATCTTCACACAAGAGATTATTAATAAGTCTAATTTTCAGCATGTGTGATTTATTTTTTAGTATTGAAAAAATACACGATCCTTTTGTTTATTGTCTCTACACAATCCAACAACAAAATTTCACTAAATTGTTAAAATCTTGTGCAAAATTAATAAGGTCAAATTAGGTAGAAATCTTTAAAAAGTCATTGTAATGTCAAAATTTTGTTTTTCATTTGCCCTTTTTTTTTCAAATAAAAACTTAGAATAAAAATTAAAATTTATTACTTTTATTTTAAAATAAAAGCACGTTTGAAACGCTCAACGAAAGCAAATGCTTATAAGCTCAAGTCTCCTTACACTTTGCAATTCATTGATTTTAATTAACAAACTAAATTTTAACAAAAATTAGTGAAGTAACATTAAGTTGTGATGAGTGTTTCAGAAGAAATAAGTTACAATTTCAAATTCCTCTAAGTGCTTAGAGTTTTTTTGAAACACTTTCAGAACTTGTGTCGATCAAATATATGATATGTGTAACACGAAAAATTCCATATACCCAAAGGATTACTCAGGCAAATGATCCGAGACTCTCCTTACCCCAATTATATATATATATAATTGAAGAAATGCAAAACAGTGAGGTTATACATGTAAAATATAATTTGATCAAAGAATGATTGGTATACCAAAACCAAGAGCATGGGTGGGGTCCCTTTGACAATTTCAAATTCCTCTCAGTGCTTAGAGTTTTTTTGAAACACTTTCAGAACTTGTATCGATCAAATATATGATATGTGTGACACGAAAAATTCCATATACCCAAAGGATTACTCAGGCAAATGATCCGAGACTCTCCTTACCCTAATTATATATATATATAATTGAAGAAATGCAAAACAGTGAGGTTATACATGTAAAATATAATTTGATCAAAGAATGATTGGTATACCAAAACCAAGAGCATGGGTGGGGTCCCTTTGGTGTCCAAAAGGACATTTATGCATTGAAGTGTGCCCCAATGGCTATAAATATCACAATTTTGTGGGTCACTGTTTGTTGTGGATATATATATATACTAGCGGTTAGGCACATACGATGTGTGTGCAAATTAAATAAAGAGGAATAAAAGAAAATAATAATGAAATTAATATTATAATGTGTACTTAGCTTAAGTGGTATGAGTCTTCATACTTAAACCCATGGTCATGGGTTCAAGTCTTGTCCATCTCTTTGTTTAACTTTTTAAAAAAAAAATAAAAAAGAAGACTGCCACATGGCATGAGGAGAGTAAAGCAAGCTTCAGGACACCATATTATGTGTTCACTTTATAATAGTATAATGAAATTAATATTATAATGTGTACTTAGCTTAAGTGGTATGAGTCTTCATACTTAAACCCATGGTCATGGGTTCAAGCCTTGTCCATCTCTTTGTTTAACTTTTTTTTAAAAAAATAAAAAAGAAGACTGCCACATGGCATGAGGAGAGTAAAGCAAGCTTCAAGACACCATATTATGTGTTCACTTTATAATAGTATAGATAGATAGATAGATAGATAGATAGATATATATACTCGCATATATTGGGATGGGGATGGGGATGGAGTGGGCGCCAAAGCTTTTAATGATTTTCTTTGTACTCAATTGGAATGGCCACAAGATGGAGTTGGAATATCTTTTTCAAGAGAGAAAGAGAAAACAGGGAATATAATTTTCATGGCATTTTCTTAGGAGGATACAAGTAGTAGAAAAATTATTGAGTTATTGGTTGTTTGGACACGTGAAATTATGATTAGAGTTTTGTATCAAAAAATTTTATTGGGGCTTTTTATGTGCACCAATTGTCCAATAATACGAGAACAAAATGGCAAAAAATAAATGACAAGGAAGACATTAAAACCCAAAATTGACCCATATTGAATTGCCATTCGTTGGAAAGAAATACTTGGTTTGATTCAAAAAATAAATGACAAGGAAGACATTAAAATCCAAAATTGACCCATATTGAATTGCCATTTGTTGAATGCTCGGTTTGATTGCCCAAGTCAATGAAAATGAGATTATGAGATTTGTTTTATTTTTTCATATTCCCCAAGAGAGGGTCCCTTCGGTAAGCACAAAGTTTGTTATCATGAAATCATCTTGTAAGCCTATTAAGTAAATTATTTATGTAAAAAATAATAGGATGAGACATTAATATTTAGAGAATTGTTAAGTTATTGAATATCTTTATTAACAATAAGAGGTAACCATAAAAGCCTTTTTGAGAAGCCTCGGAGCTTACTTTGAAACCCAAATTGTTGTAAATTATTCCTAATTATGACAGACCCACATTTATTAAAGTCTGTCTTTTGGTGCATAGTCGGTCCATTGGCTGCTTGCTTTCTTCTCAAAATTTTGGGCCAGGCTTCATTTTTATTTGGGCTACCAATATCTGGACTATGATTTCTTGGCCCATTATCTTGTTGAACTTGAACTTGTGTCTCAAATGAGATCTTTAGACATGGAATTTTTCTCTTTTCCTTTTTATGACCAAAAGAAAAACGACAGACCAAAAATAAAATGGATTTTTTTGGGAGGAAAAATCCGAGAGTATTATGTTCCCATTAAAAAGCTCAAAACAGTTGACCAAAAAAAAATTCAAAAAATTAATGTGTTATATATGGTCTTTGTCATTGAAGACAAATTTATCATGCAACTAAAATTACATAACATGTAACAAAAGTAGATAGTTATGGACATATCATATTAAGAAAGAGCGTGCCACCTTGGACATTCAAGCCATGATTACAAAGTTAAAATATATTCAAATTTAATTTATTTACATGACTCCAATTCGAACAGTTGGACTATTTTTTTTTTGTTTATGTAGCTACCTATCTATTTCATAACACATTAAATGGCCAACCTTTCTTAAAAACAAAAAAGAAAAGAAAAAGTCATGATATATGCCGTTTTAGGAACAAAATAAAAAGTCATGTTTTTGGACAAAATGTCTAAAAACACAAGGGTCAAAAACATAACAAAATTGGTTTGGGAAGTGCCAAAAACACAAGTGTAAAATTACAAATTATGGCCTATGACAAAAAAATAAAAAAATAAATTTCTTATGTTGGGTAAGGATATTTTGATTATTTTAATTTGATTTGACACCATAAACAAATATTAAACTAAAAAGACAGCTTTTTACCAACTTCCCAAATTACTTTGCAAAAAGCTAAACAGTCAAAAGTCAACTTTTTACCAACTTCTCAAAACACTCCATAATTAACAACTTCTTCAGGCACATCTAATAATTTTCCAAGGTGCCTAAAAATGAACTTTAAACCATCATGGTCTACGGATGCCATAATACTCTCACAGAACGTTATTTTGTAGTTAAGAAAAAAACCATATTTGCTTGTGATGTCAAAGAACCAAGGTTTTAACACATGATGATACTCCATATAAAGGACTACTAATAATCCTTACAGGCAAAACCCTATGTTTCTCTCTACTGTCATTTTCTCGAGAATATTTTCTATGTACTAATATGAACCATGCACGGCACCAAAAACAGCCCCTCTGGCACGATCCAAAGCCTGAAACTGTCCATAATTAGGGTAAAAGGCTTTGCAAAGCTGATTGTACTTTTCAATATCAAAGTTGTGAATTTTCATGAGATTCTTTTGCTTGGCCTTGATTCGGCGTTGGAAGTAGCCTTCGAAAGAGGGCTCTGTGGATGTCCTGAGGAAGAAGGCATAGGCTAGAGCGAAGTGAAGCGATGTGACGAAGAAGCAAATGGGCTCCATCACGTCCCAACTGAATTCCCAGAAGGTGAGTCTCATGAAGACCAGTGTTTGGAGAACTATGAAGCCTAGCCCACAGTAGAGCTCCACTTGAACTAGTTGTTGGGCTTTTTGGTCGATTACCGACTTTTGCTTCTCCATTTGTTCAAGTTCTTGCCTTCTTGGGTCGTTTGGGATGGCTACGGACTGAGAAATTACCTTTTCCATTGATTTTGCAACCTGTAATCATTTGATAGTTTAATAAGCTATAAATTCATATTGAAAACAAAAATTTAAAGTTTGTGTTGTATTTTGGACCACCCAATTTGGTCACAATCCTAAAAGATGTCGTTATTTTATTAAACATAATGTTTGAGTTCAAATCTTTATAGTTGCGCAATGCAATTTATTCATCTATAATTCCGTTTCAAAAAGTTGTGGGAAAAAAAAGGACTATTTTAGGATAAGATATTAGTTGTTAATACCAAAGTATGTAATAATATTGCGCATATACAAAGTAAAACTCTAAACATGTATAAAATTTAGACAAATTTTTTTATAAGAATAATATAACAATACTATTATTGTAAATAAATACATATTTAATAGTATTTTGTTTTGAAGTGAAAAGTTTATAAAGAGTCGTATATATGAATTCTTTGGTATAACATTACTCAAACAATTTGATTCTTATCCTTCAAATTTTTCTTAGTGATATATGTGATGTTCAATAATAAAATTTTAAATTTTAGAAAATAATTTGTTAAAAATATATATAAAAGTTTGTTAATTTCTTTAACAAATCTTATAAGAACGTTTCCAACTCTAACTCAGATATTTTATCAAATTTAAATTTGATGAAACACGTCTTTTTTTTTTCTACTCCAACCATGGGCATCAAACTCATATCAAATGAAGGCGAGGCCAAATTTTTTATCAAATTAATGAAGTATTTAATATTTTATCAAATTGTGTAAGTAATTGTTGGTGGACGACCAACGGAACATCTAGGTGGATGATTAACTTGAAAAAGTTTGGTTAAAAATTTGCTTTAGGTCAAATGACTAGCCAAATTTGATAAAACGACCAACTTTAATAAAACGATTGGAGTGCAACAATCATATCAAACTCTTACTTAAATTTGGTCATTGAAGATCCTCTAATAATTAATAAATTATTTATTTTTCATTTTTGACAATGAAAGATTAAAAGATCCACTTTTCAACTCATATTCATTGACTCGTTAATATCTTTTGGAGAAGATTCTTTATATAAAGACAAAAATTTGTTAAGTTCGTCCCATTAATAAGATAGATTTTGTGCAACCCAAATAATAAAATAAATAATGTTAGGTAATTTAAAATTTTGTGGTTCAAATGACTCAAATCACTCAAAATGACGTCGTTTTAAGTGATTTTAAGTATAAAACGACGTCGTTCTGACATATTTGAACTATTTGAATCACAAAATTTTGAACTACCAAATATTTTCCTAAAATAAATACACTATAATATTAATTATATTAGGGATCGTAGATTCGGAGAGAGTGAGCAAATTGGGTAGGCAGGTACCTGGTCCGGCCGAAGGAACACGATTTGGCCCAAAACGATGACGTCTCCAGACTCATCCAACCTCTTGGCAAACTCCACACCTTGCTCTCGATTCGCACACACATCAACGCAGATCTTTACATACTCCGAGTACGAAATCGAGTTCATCGCCATCTGTCTCAGCTTCGATCTCACCTTCTCCAACTGCGAAGCCTTCAGAATCTTCTTCGCATCTCTCACCGATATCGATGTCCTATCGATTGAACCGAACGGAGCTGATTGCGAAGGCACCGGAGAACTCAGCCCTTCAAGCCGGAGACGATCGCCGGTGAGATTTATAGATCCGAGCTTCTCCCTCAGCTCGTCTCCGAAAGGAATGGAGAGGAAGTCCGGGAACTTCGCCGCCTGGTTTATGGCCCGCCGCTGGAGGAACCGTCGAAAAAAGCCGCTGTCGGCGGAGTCAGGCGAAGTGAGGAACTCGCGGTGGAAGTTTGTTTTGAATGCATTTGGGGTTTTGTGCAAGGATGGAGATGAAATCGGTGAATGCTCGAGGGTTAGGAGTGGAGATGAGTCTCTGTTTTTGTTGAGTAGACGATTCGCTAGTGCTCTTCGAAGCGCCATTGATGAGCAGAATACAGAGAGTTAGGGGAGAGAGCGCTTTGAAGATTCCAATGGAGGTGGAAGGCGTTATATAGCCAGGGAATCTCCCTTGATTCTGTCTCAATGGCGAGATCTCTTTAAATATATGTATTCAGGAAAATTATTGGTTGGTTACTTCTCTGAATTGATATTCTTTTCCTTACATATTTAACTTTGGTAATGATATATCTCATTAAAAGTGATGCTCTAAAGTATCATTAATGAGTTGGCAAACACTTTAACTAAAAAAAAAAATACAAGACACAAGTAGTGGGTCCCGTCCACTGCCACATCACTAGTGCTGCTTTTAGAGCACCACTTTTAGTGGTCTCAAGCATTATTGTTTAACTTTTGTGAAAAATTTATTTTATTGAGTGAATTAATTATTTACATACTTATTTTATAATTATGGAAATATTTAAAGAAAATTTATCCAAAAATTTCACCCCATAAAAATATACCGGAAGTCTCATGAATTTTATTGTAAACAATTAAATCCTATTCACCTTGCTTAGTTTCCAGTTTTTCAAAATACTTTTAAGAAAATTCTACTCTTATTTTTTGTGTTTTTTTGTTTTTATTAAATTTTTTTAATATTTTAAGTAATTTTTTTACTTTTTAGACACACCTAACATAAATACACCTAAAAAGTAAAAAAAATATAAAACAATCTTTTAAAAATTCATTAAATACCAAAAATATAAAAAAATACAAGAATTCAGTATATTTTTATGTATTTTTATGTATTTATTAATTTTTTAAAATATTTTTTTCATAATTTTTTTACTTTTTAGATACATCTAAGTAAGGTGCATTTAAAAAAGTAAAAAAAATGTTTAGAATTTAAAAAATATTCACTAAAAATAAAAAAAAAACAAAAATTAAAAAAATTAATTTTTAAAAAATTTAATTCAAAAAATTCAAACCAAACATAGTGATTGAATTTAGAAAGGTGGATCATTTCCTTATATTTCTTAAAGATTTTGGGGGTGATACTAGAGTATTTTCAATCTGTCATCACATGATTCATCAAATGAAAAATGCATGGGAGCACTAATTAGTGCTCCCACTAATTAGGTGGCAGTGGGTCCCATCATTAATGATGTGATGTTTTGATCTTGGAGTTGTGTTTTTTTTTTTTTTACTTTTTTAATACATTAGTACTATTAGTGGTGATATTTTTAGTGGGATGAATCATTGTTGTTCATCAAATTTTGATGAAAGCGCCGAATGAGATGTTCCAATTCTTTCACCAAAGTCATATCAAATAGAAGCAAGAAAACAAAACTTTCATTAAATTAATGGAATCTTTCATCTTTTATCAAATTTAAATTTATCGTTGGACAGGACATTCTCTCGGATGTCCACCAAGAGTAATTTTGATAGTTTTTTTTTTTTTTTTTTATGTCCGGACGTCCTCCCAAATAATCAGGGATATGAAAAAATCTGACGGAAATTCTTATTTTAGTATTAGAGTGAACAATATCAAATCAAATTTTCTATTAAAATTTTACTTAAATTTGTTGAAATTTTTGATTCACCGTTAGAAATGGTCTTAAGTATGCTTTATTTGAGATATTTTAATGTGAGATTGTCCACATCATTTTAATGTGGCCACTATTATCTTATTAAATTTTTATTAAATATGTTATTCTTGAAATGTGATAAGACCTAATGTAACAATGTTTTTTAATTTGAACTATCATATTGACATATATATTTTATGTTATCAAATTTGGATATGTTTTCCTACTGGTAAATTCGTACTAAACATGGAATAAAAATAATAAATTTAATTATAATTTTTATAAAATTTTAAGTGGTTTATTATTTTTGTTTCAACGTTGTTAAACAGAAAAGTTGAAAAAATTATAAACTGACCCGATCCAGATGAAACGGCATTCATATAGTGGTAGCCCCTGCTATACACGGCTTTATAAATTAAAAAAAAATTATTATAATTATCTTAAAATAATTTAATATTTTATCTTACGATATACATAAAATTTATAAGTTAACTTTTATATTTATAACTTTTTAAATTATTAGTTTAAAAAAATTAAAATATATATATAGTACAATTTTAATAATTTATATTAAAAAAAAGTTAAACCTGATTAAATGAGATTAACTGAGTTATGACATAACTTTTCTTGTTATGAAAAGGGTCCAGCTTGTCTCAAATTGAGATCAATACTGGACCCGTCCAGTCCGGTCTATGGGATCCAATTTTTTGGCCCGTTTTGATAATCCGAACCGTTCAATGTGTAGAACTCATCGAGTACTATATGTCTACAAAAAATCACGTTGATTGGATATCAATAGCTATATGATCAAATCAGTTTTGTATAAAAAAAATTGAACGGTGAAAAAATTAATGGTTGATAAAAAACTGTTTTGTTCACATAGCTATCGATATTCGATCAACGTGATTTTTTACAGGCATATAGTACTTGATGAGTTCTACACATTGACGGTTCAGATTATCAAAACGGGACCCGTTGTAAGCCCTCACGAACCCAACAGCACGGCCCAGTCCGATCTTGGACTGGACCAAAGCCACTGCCTTTTGAAAATATATAAATTTAAAAGTTATAATTAAAACAAATATATAATTTTATTATTAAATATGAAGTGAAGTGATATTTAACAATAATTAATATAATGTTTCTATTATTAATCCAATAATTTAAGTTACATTTCTTTTTATTTCATTTTCATAACTAAAAATACAATATGAATGTAATACACACACGAATTTCTAGTCTTTATAAATAAGAAGGTTTTAAAATATTTTCAAACTTTCATCATTTTCTTTTAATTATTTTTATTAATTTTTAAAAGAACTTTCATTCTTATTCCATTTTTTTTTCTTTTCACCAATTTTGATGGAAAAAACAATAATTTCTAACGTTTCATCTATTTAAATTTTTATCAAATTATAATTTGATAAAAAAAATATATTACGGGTTGAAGATTCTCTTAATTAGAATTATAGTGAAATAACATCTTCAAATAGTCAAAGGTTGAGTATGTGGTTGGTTGAAATGTATAATTTAATTAATTCTTTTCTCATATTTATATAAAAATTGACACTCATGACTACATCATTATTATGGAAAAAAATTTTGGAGTGTCAAACAATTTCCATTTATAAATATCCTACATATCAAAAAATAAAAATAAAAATAAATAAATAAAATGTGTAGCTTTTTTATATGTGTTTATTAGTTTTGTTTTATGAATATAAACAATTGATATTTCAATTTAAAAAATTAAAAAGTAAAAAAAAAATAGATTGGGTTTTTTAGAAATAAAAGAAACCATCTAACTCTTCTATATATTATTAAGATGAACTATTTTAATCACATAAAAAAATAAAAATTATATTTAGAGATTATTTTTATATATTATGCTATTATATACAACTATAGTTGTGACAGATTAATTATAATATATATGAAAAGTTATATTAAGCTTTCATTTTCAATTAATTGACTTATAATTAGCAAATTAACAAATAGTAGTAATGGTCTAATGGAATAGAAAGAGGATAAAAATAAAAACACAATGATATTTAAATGTTTTAAATTTATCTAGTTATACAAAAATCTAACGTTATAGTAAAATCTTGAATTCTCAATAAATTTTCACATTTTTTATAAAAAAAAAAATGACAATATTTTTTTTACTTCAATTTTATAGTCTTCACCAAAGAAAACAAAACCTTATCAAAATCCTTGGCATGGAATGGACATAGATGCTTCGAATATAACTATAATCACCAATAATTTTTCTCTACTATGCAAACCTGTAAACAAATACATAAATCTCACTAAAACCGAAATCAAAACCAAACCAATAGTAAAGAAAGAGAATCACACAGAGAAAAAATAAAATTAAAAAATAAATAAATTTATAGAGTGGGAGAATGTTACTTTCAACAACTTAAACCTCATTTAACCCAATCTGTTAGCTCCCCTACCAGTGCTTGTGAAGTTTAGGAGTTGGGGTGACTAATCAGATTATTCTTTAAATAAGACTTGAAAATTGATTAATTTGTCTCATTAAGTGATTTAAAATTTTGATATATACATACATCAGAAAAATAGATAATTATATTACTAAATTATAATTCAAATTTAGATATTGTGGTGTGACCGGGCTAGAAACCTGTTTGGGCAATCTCAAGGTTTAGATTAAACCGAACTAGGGAACCTTCTAGGTGTACACCCAGCCAAACTAGATAACTCTTCAACTGACCGAACTAAAACTTCATGCCGAATCTGTAATTTCAATAGGTCCAAGTACCTTTTACTTTACTTAGCCGAACTAACGAACTGCCTTAAGTTTGCGCCATACCGCGCTAGAAAGCCCTATTTACCGACCAAGCCACAACTTGGGGCTAAACCAGCTCCCTTAGTCAAAACCGAACTAAGAATGCTGCCCCAAATGCTCAACCGGGCTCAAGACCCTTGCTCAAATCGGGCTAAGAATGGACAGTATCCCACGTAACCAAGCTAGGACTTCATTTATCTTGCCTTTGTTAAAGTATAGGTTCTTAGTAAACTCACCAGGTGCTATGGCCGAGTTCCGAAGGGACTACCATATCCCTGATGATGTTCATCTCACTTTAGCCGAACTAGATACCACACCCTGGGAAAACCCTAGCTTTGTTCCCTTTACCCTTCTTTCCATTGTAGAAACCGAACTTAGATTCCCTGTATAGCCTCTTCTCTGCGAGTTTCTTAGACAAACCAACCTCTGCCCTACCCAGCTTTCGACAAATTCATACCGCATAATAAATGGCATCACCGAGCTAAATCGTCGGGCTGGCCTTAATCTCGGTTTAGCCGAACTCTTCCACCAATATTCCATAGGTTCAAAAGAAGATGGCTGGGTTTACTATTTAAGAATAAGGCGTCAGTGTGAAAAGATAATAAAGAATACCCCAGACAAGGATGTAAACGACAATGATTTTTTCTGGGTTTCTGGAAACTTCGAAGACCAAGAAGCCCAGATCCCGGGCGACCGAATAAACTGGAATAAAGGAGTCGCCGGTATAATTACCTCGGCTTAGTTTTCTACTTTTTTCTACCTCGGTTTTGTTATCTTGAACCGTACT